AAAAAACTCTGGCAGTATGGGACTCTCTGTTCTGAAAATGGCTGCCTGTCAATGAGTTAAAACCCAAACTCAGCGTTTCTGCGTGGTTCTGGGTTCTGTTTGCCTCTGGGTCTGCAGGTACTTCAACAGAGGCAGCGCCCCGCTGGAGTGTGACCGGGACTTCTGGGAGCTGCGGGACAGCGTGGTGCAGTGCGAGCTGGTCGTCCTCCGCCAGCTCAACTTCCACGTCTCCTTCGAACACCCGCACAAGGTGCGTCTGCCGCTAACTTACCGCTAACTGCTGCTAACTGCTGCTGCTAACTGGCCGAACGGCCGGAGACCCGCTAACCCGCCACTAACCGGTCGTTAACCCACCGCTAACCCGCTGTTAACATGCTGCTAACCAACCGTAAACCTGCCGCTAACCTGCCACTTGCCCGCCCCCAACCCCACCGCTAACTGGCTACTAACCCGCTGCGAACCGGCCATTAACCCACCACTAACCGGCCACTAACCTGCCATTAATCCGCTACTAACCCGCCTTTGGACCAGCTTCTAACCGGCCACTAACCCACCTTTTGGCCTGCCACTAACCTGCTACTAAGACGCTTTTCCACTGGCCACTAACCTGCCACTAACCCGTCTTTCTACCGGCCACTAACCCGCCGTTAACCCACAGCTAACCAGCCGCTAACCCACCACTAACCCACCATTAACCAGCCGCTAACCTGTCGCTAACCAGCCGCTAACCCCCTGCTAACCTGCCCCTCTCCCTGCAGTACCTGCTCCACTACCTTTTGTCGGTCAAGTCTCTGGTGAACCGGCACGCCTGGTGCCGGACGCCGGTGGCCGAGACTTCCTGGGCGTTGCTAAGAGACTGTTACCACGGAGCCGTGTGCATCCGGCACAGCCCGCAGCACATCGCCGTGGCAACGCTGTACCTGGCCCTCAACAGCTACGGCGTGGAGCTGCCCGCCGGCGAGAGGGAGTGGTGGCAGGTGCTTTATTCAGCATTTTATACTTTTCTCTGACTTCAGTTTAGTTTAAGGAACATCTGAGTCAACGTGAAATTTCCACAACGACAGTCTGTTTACAGTAAGAATAAATCACATATAAGGATAAAATAAATTCAATCAGAGCAAAGAACAAAAGCAACAAGAGTTATTATGGAACACAAAAATAAAAACTAGTGCAATTTCAATTTAAAAAGGAAAAAAAAACACATTCAAGAAAGAAAGAAAAAGGGGATATTAAAGTAAATTGTACAAAGGGATTGAATTCAATTAAAACGTTACAGCTAAAGCAAAAAAAAAGATTCTTTATAAGAAGAAAGAGAAAAAACCTGTTTTAAAGGCTGACCCAGTTCATGGATCAGTCTGTCTGGGTCTGATTTACACTCTTTTTCTCTATTTTTCCTCTCTTAAGAAACTGTTTGTGGAATATTCTCTATATTTAAACAGCGTTTTATACATATTTTTCTCTGACTTCCGTTTAGTTTAAGGCACATCTGAGTCAACGTGAAATTTCCACGACGACAGTCTGTTTACAGAAAGAAGAGATCACTTATAGGGATAAAATGAATTAAATCAGAGCGAAGCAAAAAACAACAAAAGTTATTATGGAACACGGAAAAAAAAACAAGTGTTGAAATTTCAATTTAAAAAGGTACAGCAAAAG